TTTTTTTTTTTTTTTTTTTTTTTTTTTAAGAGAGAGAGAGAGAGAGAGAGAGAGAGAGAGAGAGGATCACTGGGGAAATGCGTACCACTCGGCAGTTGTGCCTGGGACCTCTTCCCTGATATCACATGGGGTTGGACGAGCATGGTGGTCCTGTTTTTTGGGCTTGAACCATGATGATGTCTCGCCCTCGAACAGGAGCGCGATTTCTTTGTGAGGGATGCCAGGCCCAATTCCTAGCATTGTTGCTTGTGCCTCAGGGTCACATCAACATTCATTACCAATTTAAAAAACACAAATTTCCTTCCCCAAGAAGAAAAGAAAATGGACTAACAAAACTCTTTCTGAAATAGGGGAAAAAAAGAAAGGAAAAAAAGAAGGAAATATTATGTTTGGTTATGATTGAACAAGTGTGAAACTTAGCAAACAGACAAAGTCCAAGAAGACAAAGTCAGAGCCGAGACATCACAAGTACACCAAGGTACAGAGTAAAAGTCGATTGCAAATGCCGGTGGGTAGGCACCCCGACCGGTTTCAGGCGTCGCCACACGCCCTCATCAGGGGGAAAYCCACCAACTTCGTCCCGCCACAAATCCCAACTTTCCGACTCTCCCACCTCCGTCGTCAGACCCGCCACCATCTCCGGAGTTATAGCGCATCCAACCGGCGTTGGACCCAAAAGAAAAACAACGGCGCAATCATTACTCTTATAGAACTATCCTAGTAGTGGCACACCACAGAAAATGTCAACGCAACGCCTACACCCCCCGAAATACTCTTATAGAACTATCCTAGTAGTGGCACACCACATAAAATGTCAACGCAACGCCTACACCCCCCGAAAATCCCTGGAGGGTACAGTCACCAAATGCGACGCCTACAACCTCCGAAAATCCCTGGAGGATCACCAAGTCCAATATCCAGGCTCGAGGTCAAGGGTTCAAGGTCTATAGGCCGTGAACAAAATCAAAGCTCATAGGCTACAACAACACACCAAAAAACAAACAAAAAGCAAAAAGCAAAAAAGCAAAGGCAAAAGCAAAAACCGAAAACGAGTGTCCCCAAAAGTAGCCTGGAACAATGAGGCCCGAAACCCAGCTCGGTGGAACCCTGTCCCACTATACTTCCTAGAACAGGTCTGGTCCCGGGGATCCAGAGCAGCAAGCACCTCAAAGGGAACAAAAAACAAAAACCAAACAAAAACAAAAAACAAATCAAAGGCTCAGAGGATAAAACACCATAAAGCTCGAGAAGAGGTCAAGTTCTTTCGAAATTCCTTGGGTAGAGAGGGTAGAAATAATTGTTTAAGTTGACGAGCCGACCTCCCTCCACTGCCTCCAGCACATAGTTTGAAGAAGAAGAAGAGGGAGGAATTCTTCGCGGGCGTAGCGCTACAGGGAGCGCTGCGCCCCGGCAGCATCAATCAAGGTCACCACGGAGAGGAGCCGCGCGCGTCGGGTAACAGCATGCAGCAAGGAAAATCGCGCGCGCGCGCTCGAAGATTGCGCGCGATTGGGCGCGCGCCCTGAGCTGAAATTTTGACCACCGGTGGTCTACGTTGAGGAGCTGAGGTGGTCCAAATTTCAGACCGAACGGTCCAGCGGATCACGAGATATCGAAGTTTTAGGGCGCGCCATGGAAGTCGAGCGTGTGGACCCTTCTCCTTTCGACATCCTTTCTTTCCCTTTCTGCACGTGTTTGTTGATTAAGGCGCCACAAGGAGAGTGGCTGGAGATGATGGCATAGGACGCATGGTCTCCTCTGTCTACTTTCATCTGCCCTGCGAAGCGGTGGACTCAAGTCTCTGCGGTAGGCTTGAAC